AGAAAGGAGGGAAATCTCAGAGTTGAATAAATGGAAATGGAACGTAGATTAAAATCCATATCTATGAAATGAACATGAATCAAATTAGGTTGTGGACTGATGTTTGCTCTTTTATCAGAAAATGGCAAATGAATCATTTGCAAAATTGCTTGATGACAACAAGGTGAAGGGCCCAAACTATACTGACTTGTACAGGAACCTTATGCTGGTCCTAGCTTCTGAAAAGCTGGACAAAGTGGCAAAGAATCCTGCCCCGGAGCGTCCGGGTGATAGGGCTTCTGAGGCCCGAAGGAGAGACTATCAAGAATGGGAGGAGAAAAACTYCYTTGCCCGGTGTTACATCATTGCCTCCTTGGACAACCCGATACAGAGGCAGTTTGATCAGATCGAACTTGCCAAGGACATATTGGACAATCTCAGGACGATGTATGAAGAGCAGAATCATTCTACTCGACAAAAGGTCTTGAAACAGTTCATGACCGCACAAATGTCCAAGGGTCAATAGGTTCATGACCATTGTCTTCGGATGATGGGTTACATCAACGAACTAGAGGCTCTTGGATCTGGGCTGGACCTTGCAACTCAGATAGATGCTATCCTTAATTCTTTGCCTCCTTCCTTTAATCCGTTCATCGTGAACTATAACATGAACAAGTTGAATGTCAGCTTGTAAGAGCTTAGCAATATGTTGCAAAGAGCTGAAGAACTTATTAGAAAGGATGAGCCCGTAGCTATGCTTGTTGAAGCTGGCAAGACAGGCAAGAGAAAGAGGAAGGTAAAGAAGCCTCAGAAGAAAGCCACGAAGAGCAAGAAACAAAAGAAAGACAAAGCATCGGATGCCTGTCACTTCTGCAAGAAGACCGGTCACTGGAAAAGGAACTGTCCTGCCTACCTGGAATCCAAGAGAGGTAATTTCGAAACTTGTGTTATAGAAACCAAGGTGATGGGCTAATCTTGCATCTGCCCACAGTCCCTGGGTGTTACAAGGTGGCTTGGCCCAGGGACCACTTAGGGTAAGTGTTGGGCCCATAGAGCCCATTTGATGGGTTTTCAGGGGGTGCACTGTCTTTAACAGTGTATTCGGCCAGGCCTAGTAACAAAGGCTGGGCCGAACCCATGTGGCTGATGTGTAGATCAATGCTTGGGTCCCACGCCATANTGTGGCTGATGTGTAGATCAATGCTTGGGTCCCACGCCATACAAGGAAGCCCAACTGGGCAGCAGTTAGGAATGTTAAGTGAGCACATAAGCTTAATGGGCCTAAAGCCCATTTCGAACTGGGCTATTCATTTAGTTAATTAAAGGGGCGAATTCTGAGAGATGATCATTGATCACACCAGAATGTCGAGCTTCAGACAAAAAACAAGCACTTATCACGAGGCAACCCAATGTCGATAAGTAGTTTCTTTTTTTTTCCGTATCATCAGAGTTCTTCTTTTATGATTTTAGGTTTTTACTTTCGTTGATTATTGATCACTCCTAGTTGCTCTTCATTCTCTCCTCCTAGTTCTTTTTTATACTTAGCAGCTAGATGGTCCTTGACAATGGAGCCACTTCAGATTTCTAAAAGTTGTTCAGGGAAGTTCTCTCAATCCCCTCAGATTCTTGAATTCCTACTCTCTACATTGCTAAACCGTCTTCGCGCTCTATCAATATGAACATTAAGGACAATGTTTATGATAAGTGTGGGGGAGGCTATAGTTATGCACCCATATACATAAATGCATTGATAGGCTGCATAAACTGGTAAGCTCCTCAAAATTAATTGTTGTCTATAAAGTGAATTTACAAGAGAGAATATGATGAAGTTTGAGGAAAATTACTTGTAAGTGTTATAATTTGTTTCTGTGACTTATTCAATTTTATCACAATATATGAGGATTAGGAAGTCGAATAGGATTTTCATCATGACCAACACTAATTCTATTCATGTGTATAGTTGTACTTGATTGAAATTTTAATGAACACTCGATTATTTGGTGAGCATCATGAACTGTTAATGCATGAATAAACTTTGACAGTTGAGAAAAAGAGGACAATAAGGAAGCAAAAATTGTCCCTGGACAAAGTCCGAACTACTCCGCTGTCATGAATTGAATAGTAAAACTAGCGGTTCATGATATGAGTTCAGTCCCAACTCCGCTATTTCAAGTTCAATAGTAAAACTAGCAACTTGGAATATGAGTAATGTCATCTGCCTTTATCCTGTGACCTTTGTGAGATGGAGCATAAAATGCACTCACACTCAGAAACAAATAATTATAATAATATATTCTTTCGGTGATGGCTGTGGTTTAAGGGGGCAAAAATATAGTTGGATATTCAATTTAGTGCATTGATAGGAGTTAAGATCAAGCTTGAGGTGATGGTTAGTCATGGCGGTCAAGGAGCTACTATATACTGAATGGAATTGAGTGTTGGAGCATGAAGAATCTCATGTTCTTCCCGTCCTTCATTCTGGGGTATGTGGTAAGAGTGGCTTGTCATGGGGATGAATTAGAATACTTATGTATGATTTTCGATCACTTAACGCATTCTCCTCCCAGAATTCATGCGATAGATAGGAGTTATTTAGGGGAATGGCCAGTTTATGATTATTATCTTTGCTTGAGGACAAGCAAAAGCTTAAGTGTGGGGGTATTTGATGTGTGTGCATGCTACACATTGTTTTTATTGTCTCATACATGATTTTTATGATAAATCTTAATGGTTCTTTTCTTAATTGAGCTGAATTTTAGGAAAACAGAAGTTTGGAACAGTTTGGGGTTCAAAGAACAATGAAGACATAGTGATAGTGCCGCAAAGGAACACTTTGGCCTAGGAGAATAGAGGCACAACCACAGCTTATTGGGATGCTCCAGGAGGCGGCTGATTTTAGCAGAGTTCGAAGGGGAGTAGGACTCTAAAACTGCAAGAAAGAGTATAAAAGAAAAAGAAAAAGAAGAAATTAGGGTTCGACTTCTTATTACAGGAACCAAGGGAGAAGTGCTGGGAGAAAGATCACAAGGCTACCGAAGGAGAATTGGAGAGGAGATCGAGAATTCATGCAAAAGTTTTAGGTTGTCTTCTTCTTTAATTCAGCAATTTCGGTAACCTAGGTTCAACTAGTGTTTTCTTTTGTTTGAATCTTTCATTCTTTCTACCATGCTAACCATGATTGATGTTATTTCAGATCTGTGATTGATCTTTTTAGCTAATCCAATTGATAGTTATTTAGTATTAGGATTTCTTGATTAGGGTTTTCAATAGTAAGAGTAAATTCGGCTGATCTGCTCTTGTTTCTTGGATTACCTATATTGGTTGAGAAAGGGTTTAGGTAATCAAACCAATTGATCAAAAAAACGAATTGAATGTATCTTAGCGATAATTTAAATGATTCGTTTGGCATTCATTCAGCAAGAACTGATATCATTCGATTTTCTTGTCTTTAATGCATCTACAGTAATTAAATTCTTGATAGAGATATAAGGGTTGTTACTCGTAGATAGATTGGCATGTGCTTGAAAGAGGCTGTTCATAACAAGAAGGAAATCACCAACCCATAAGGCAGATTTAGTAAGATAACAACTGAACTGATTCTGCAATCATTTTCGTGAAGTGCTTTCTCTATTTAATTAGGGTGGTTTAATTCGAGAACACCTAGGATAGTTAGCTAATTAGGAAGTAATTCATTGATTTTTGGATTGTCAGATAACATAAGGCAGATTTAGTACTAGTAGTTGTTGGATTAATCCTCGTGGGAACGATACTTTACTCATCAGTATATTACTTGATCGGCTAGTGCACTTTCTAGTGTAGTTCTAAACGCATCAATTCTCCTCGGGTATCATCGTCCGGCGTGAAGGTGAGACTTGGGGAGTCAAAATTTGGAAATTCTGATCCACTCTGCTCGCATTGGTCTTTGGTTTCAACTTCGCAACTTGCTGGTTGCTTGTCGAATGTGGCTGCAGCTGCTTTGGCAGTAGCAGCCTGGAGGTCTTTGTGTGATAAGTGGCCAAACGGGGAAGCTCATGAGCCAGTTCGGGGAAATTGAGGAAAGCTGAATTGCCTTTGATATTGAGTGCAGCAACATCATGGGCTCGAGTGGCCATCTCTGGAGTGGGGAATGTCCTAAGCCATATTCTTGATTTCTTTCTTGGCTCACGGATTTCCGATATCCATTTACCAAAACTATGCATCCTCACTCCACGATAACTAAGTTGATTTCCATCGTTACTGTTGGTCTTCTGCCGCCTCCTAGCTTCATTCGCATTTTTCACTTCTTGGACTACTTCCTTTGAAATCTTCGGAGTTATGTTCAATTCCGCAAAGGAATTTAGACCCAAAAATGTTGTAGTAGAAGAGGAGTTTTGAGCAGCTTCACAGGCTATCATGACTGTTTCTTCCACAATGGAGGAGAGCTTTAGACTTTGGATGAAGAAATAGGACTACTGTAGGAGAGAATATGAGAAGTGGCACAAGAAAATAGAGAAAGTAGTTTGACTTTTATTATTAAATTATTATTGGAGAGGAAAATAAAACAAATAAATTAATTAGGAGATGGGCCCTTAGGCCTTGGTGATGAACCTACAATTTATCTATATTTTATGAGGTTTATGCATGAAATTTTATGCCAGTTTAATTAGATTTTGCCCTATTTTAGCTTGATTGCAAGAAAAATTTCAGGGGCAAGCAACTCAAGAAAAAGAAGGCAAAAGCAAGAAAAAACAGCCCAAAACTTATCAAATTCAGCCCAGCCCAGCATTGAGAGCAAGGGAGTTTCATTCGGCCCAAGTAGTGCAAGCTAACTCTTTGGAAAACCCAAGGGAAGAAGCCTAGCAAGAAGGAAATTTCGACCCAGCCCATTTTCAGCCCAAAGAACAACCTAGAGTGCAGCCTACATGTGCTCGAAAGCAAGCTAAGTTGCAGCCCAAATAGCAGCCTAAAGGGAGCTAGGGGCGGCAACTCCTAGAAGTTTCTTGAAGAGAATGAGGGAACAATCTAAAAGGTTCATGAGGGGTGTAATACACCCAATTCTAGAGACTTCAAGAAGAGGCAAGAGCTTCCTTGAAAGCCTATATAAGGAGGCCTCTAGAGGGGGAATAGGGGTCCAACATCTGATTTCAAACTCTCCTTGAGCTCTTGTTCTAAGAGAGAATAAGAGAGAGAGATAGGTGCAAGAGAGGAGAAAATAGGAGGAA